ATGGCGAAGAAGACATTTGTCGAGTTATAGCATCATAGAAGATTTTCTACAAAGTGATATCAACTTTTTGCCAATAAGGTACTCTTACTCAGAAATTAAAAAGATGACTGGTAAATTTAAGGACAAGTTAGGTGAAGGTGGCTATGGCTCTGTATTCAAAGGAAAGTTGCGCAGTGGCCGTTTTGTAGCAATTAAACTCTTGGGCAAGCCCAAAGGTAATGGGCAAGACTTCACAAGTGAGGTAGCTACCATTGGAAGGATTCACCATGTTAATGTGGTGCAACTTGTTGGTTATTGTGTTGAGGGATTAAATCGTGCTCTAGTATATGACTTCATGCCAAATAGCTCTCTTGATAAATATATTTATACCAAAGAGGAAAACATGCCTTTAAGTTGCAAGAAAATGTATGAGATTTCTCTCGGAGTGGCTCGAGGGATTGAATATCTGCATCAAGGTTGTGACATGCAAATTCTACATTTTGATATCAAGCCTCATAACATTCTTCTTGATGAGAACTTTAACCCAAAGATTTCTGATTTCGGGCTTGCGAAATTATATTCCGTAGATAATAGCATTGTCTCTTTGACGGCAGCAAGGGGAACAATGGGCTATATTGCTCCTGAGTTGTTCTACAAAAACATTGGAGGTGTTTCGTACAAAGCTGATGTCTATAGTTTCGGAATGTTGCTCATGGAAATGGCAAGCCGAAGGAAGAATTTCAGTTCAATGGTAGAGCGTTCAAGCCAAACTTACTTCCCATTATGGGCATACGACCAATATAACAAGGGAAATGACTTGGAGATGGGAGATTTTAATGAGGAGGAAAAGAAAATCATAAAAAAGATGGTTATAACTGCATTGTGGTGTATTCAAATGAAGCCAAGTGATCGGCCTTCCATGAACAAAGTCATAGAAATGCTAGGAGGAGATGTTGAATGCCTAAAAATGCCCATCAGACCTTTTCTGTATCCACAGGAGATGCATGCAGGTGATGTTCAAGAAAATAATTTGAACTCAATAGGTTCAAACGGGGAGTTAACATGGACTTTGTCAGCTAGGTGATCATCAATTGTTAGAAAATGCAATCTTTTTTTTTTTTTTAGACCTTTCCTATTGAGATGGGCAATAATATACTAAACTCACATATATACTATATTGATGCTAGGACTCAAACCCAGGACCTTACTTGGAAGAGCAATTGTTCCAAACCAATACACTAATGGGTCCTTTGCATGGAATCATTTATTGTTAAACTCTAGCTTCCTACTATTATTTGGAAAATATTAAACAAAATACATCTTTTTTCTTTGTCTTTGGGAAAAAACTAACTCACTATAAAAGTTAACGACACAGCGTGACAATTGATTGGTTGAAACCTTAGCCTAAAACATGTAACTCTAGAATCCACAAGAAATTTGAGAGAACCTTAGGCTTATTTGATAAACCAGAAATAAAAACATAGCCCTAACCACAGGTAAAGTATGTTTTAATACTCCTAGAAACCCTAGGAGTAACAAAAGAATTAAAATAGGAAAATAATAAAGTTTCCAAAAACTGTAAAAATTTAAAACTAAATTTTTTACTAGTAAATGATCTCGGATGCCCAAAAAATCACATACATCACGGCAAAGTGATGAGTTTTACTTGTAAAGTCGTTCTCTTCGAATCTTCGGGTCATGGGCCCAATTCTCAGCTTGAAGCCCAAATCTGCAGCTCACCCGATTTGTCTTTCTGTGCGCATCGCTCCAGCTCCTCTTCAATTGCTTCCGCCATTTATTCTACATTAGTGCTGATGCAGCGTGACAAATGATCAACTAAAACCTTAGCCTAAAACATGTAACTCTGGAATCCACAAGGAAATATGAGAGAACCTCAGGTTTATTTGATAAACTAGAAATAAAAACATAACCCTAACCACGGGTACGTATGTTTAAATATTCATAGAAATACTAGGAATAACAAAGGAATTAAAAAAGGAAAATAACAAAGTTTCCGAAATTGTAAGAACTTTAAAACTGAATTTTGGGCTAGTAAATGATCTCGGATGCCTGAAAAAGCCCATACATCTCGACAAAGCAATGAGTTTTATTCATGATGCCACTCTATTCGAATTGAGGTGTCATGGGCCCAATTCTGAGCTCGGAGCCTCAATCTGCAACTTACTTGATTTGTCTTTGCACGCCCATCGCTCTAACTCCTCTTCATTTGCTTCCACCATCTGTTCTACATCAGTCCATTCCACTTTCGAAGAACTCGACGTTGAGTTATCATAAGGATAAATTGACTTATCATCATGGAACTCATGTAGATCTGCAACATTGAAAGTGCTCGATATGCCCATTGAAGAAGGAAGGTCCACGACATAGGCATTGTCGTTTTTTTTTTTTTTTCAGAACTTTGTAGGGCCCATACTTCCTAGATTTCAGTTTGCTATAGGTACCAAGTGGGAAATGTTCTCTCCTCAAGTAAACCATCACAGATTCTTCTTCCTGGAACAACTTCACACGATGGTGCTTGTCAGCAACGACCTTAAATTTAGTGTTAGTGCTCTCTAGCTTGTCCTTCACTTCTTCCCTCATAGTCTGAACTTGTTCAGCCATATTTTCAGCAGCTACACTAGTCTTTTGGGCTCTTGAAAGCTTGACCAGGTCAACCACATGCCTCGGCACCAAAGTGTAAACAATGGCAAAGGGTGATTTTCATGTGGAAGAATGAATAGCACTATTGTAAGTGAACCCCACCTGTGCAATATCCCATTACTTCGGCCTGTCTTCGCAAATGTTCCTAACCATGTTTCCAAGGGTTCTGTTGGTAACCTTAGTCTGACCATATGTCTGCGGATGAGCAGTGCTACTACGATTCAAGTCCGTACCAAACATCCTCCACAAGGTTATCCAAAAGTGGCTAAGGAATTTGGTGTCAAAGTTTGACGTAATAGATTTAGGATCACCATGCAACCGCACAACCCCCTTGAAAAACAATTTGACTATGTTGGAAGCGTTCACAGTCTTCTTGCAAGCAATAAAATGCTTCATCTTGGAAAACCTGTATGAGGGAGTCCCATAACAAAATCCATAGACAAGTCTTGCCAAATATCATCAGGAACAGGGAGAGGCATATAAAGACTAGTATTTTGGGACTGTCCTTTAGATACCTGGCAACTATAGCATTTACGCACAATAGTGCTGACATCTCACTTCAAGTGTGGCAAAAAATAATGCTCCTCCATACTGGCAATGGTTTTTTTATCACTGCCCAGATGGCCACTCAATCCACCCCCTTGCAAATTCTGAATCAGTTTCTCCCTTAAAGAAGAAATAGGAGTGCACCAATGGTTGCCCTTAAATAAATACCCATTGTTAACATGATAATCTGTCATCGGCTCATTGCGCACAAGCTTAGCCTATGTTTCCTGAAAATCCTCATCAGTCTCGTACAGTTCCTTTAGAAATTCCAAACCCACAACTTCTTGAACCAAAATAACAAGCAAAGTTGCTTGATGACTCAGTGCATCTGCTACATGGTTAAGAACTCCATATTTATGTTTAATAACAAATGGAATATTATGTAGAAAAGTAGCCCACCTAACATGCATCTTATTCATGCTTTTTTGCACCAGATAAGGTTCCCGCTGTTTCAAGGCTTGAACCACTACATAAAACTCCTAGTCATACATGCTCCATTTTTGGCGTGCTTCATTGAGTTTTTCTAAGGAAAATGCAACCGATCTATTCTCTTGAGGCAAAATAGTTCCTATACCCACTCCATTCACATCACATTCGACCTTGATTATCTTCTCAAAAGTGGAAATGGCTAGAACCGGTGATGTGCTCAACTTTTCTTTAATAAGGGCACAACTTTGGTCTTGCTCTTCACCCCAATTAAATTTTCCACGGTTCAGGACTCAGTAATTGGTGCAGTTAGAGTACTGAAGTGGTGAACAAAGCGCTTGTAAAAGGTTGCAAGGCCATGAAAACTCATCACATCACTGGCTGTTTTCGGAGTAGGCCACTCCCGAATGGCTCGCGCCTTATCTTCATCCACGTGGATACCATATGCATTAACAACAGAACCTAGAAAAAGTAACTTATGAATGACAAAAGTACACTTTTTTAGGTTAATAAATAGCTTATTCTCTTGCAAAACTTTCAAAACTTCCTTCAAATGTATCAAGTGCTCTTCCTTGGTTTTGCTGTAAATCAAAATGTCATCAAAATAAACTACAACAAATGAACCAATAAAGAGATGCAATACCTGATTAATAAGTCTCATAAATGTGCTTAGTGTGTTTGACAACCCAAACGGCATCACCAACCATTTGTACAATCCATCCTTGGTCTTAAAAGCTGTTTTCCACTTATCTCCAGGTTTAATCCGAATTTGGCGATACCCACTCCTCAAATTTGGAAAACACTTTAGAGCCCTCCACAACATCCAACATGTCTTCCAGGCGTGGAATTGGAACTTTACTTGATGGTGATTTTGTTGATTGCACGTCTATCAACACACATGCGCCATGTACTATCCTTCTTCGGTACCAACAACACTGGAACTGTTCACGGACTCATACTCTCTCGAATAAACCACTTTTGCAGCAAATCTTCTATCTTTTTTTTTTATTCTGAGAATCTCATTCTCCTTGGGGCTCAACGATAATGGGGTAGATTAGGAAGACTAGCTTCAGGCACCAAATCAATTTGATGTTGCACATGTCTCATCGGTGGTAGCTCATTAGGTAAATCATCTGAAATCAACTCTTGAAAATCAATTAAAATTTTCTTACCTCTCTAGGGCAAGACACCCTCTAGCAAGGTAGCCAACAACCTCATGACATACACAGGGTACAACATCAACTTCTTTAATATGTTCCTCAAAGTCTTGCTCACTGTTCGACATCACTAGAAAACTCCAGTTCTTTGGCTTTTCTAATTTTCCAGATTCACTGACAAGAGCCATAGCAATCTTATGGGAACCCCGATTATAAAAATACACATCATCACATCCTTTATGTGTGGCAACTGTATCATACTGCCAAGGACGCCCTAGTAATATATGACTAGCATCCATATCGATCACGTCACATGAAACTTTCTGTTTATAATGCTTGCCAATGGAGATGGGAACTTTGCATACTTCTGTCACCTGAACCACATGTCCTTTCTTTACCCACCTCAGTGCATTCGGAGACTCATGCTTCTATGTTGGGAGCTGTAAATAATCGACCAAATTCTTCAACACAAGATTCTCACAACTGCCACTATCCATAATCACACTGCACACTTTATTATCAAAGTGAATGGAAAAGCCTGTTGTATTGCCCTGCCTCTTGTTTTGGGGATATGCGGACTCTCTGTAACACTAAATTCACCATCTCATCACCATCTTCATCTGCAAATTTTGCTCTTTCATAATCTGCTGAAAATTACCTTCTCATCTCCATCTTCAATCTCCTAAGCTAGATTGACTTGTTTGTTACGGGTTGGGCACTCATTGGAGTGATGCCTGGTTTGGAACACCTGCAACAAATATCATTCGTCATTCTAGCATACGGATTGCTCCTATTGTTGTGATCTCTTCCCCAATTTCTGCTACTACCTTTGTCACATGGGGTAAAATTCTTTTGTTTATCATTCTTATCACTCTCCCCAGGAACCTACTTCACACCCTTATTTTTCTCCATGGATGGAGCAGAGGATTCATAACTTCTCTTTTTCATACCATTAGTGCTCGACCCAGTACGCCTATCTTTCTCTAGAAGTTCAACATTCAATGCCATATTATGAGCCTCATGAGCTGTCCACAAAGTCTAAAGCTCAATTTTCTCATACAAAGAACTTTCCAACCCAGTGATATACCTAGGGACCATTTGACCATCTGTTTCCTCTAAATTATTGCACTCAGTCAAACCCAAAAATTCATCCGTATACTCAGAAACTGTCTGATTGCCTTGGTGGCAATTATGGTATAGCCGATACAGGTACTGCTTATAATTGGTAGCAGGTAGGAATCTCCCTATCATGCTTCATACGGCACCAAGTCTTCATTGCTTACCATGCCGCTGCCGTGATTTTTGAAGCCGGTCCTACCATACAACCGCACTACCTTTCAGACCAAAGGCATCCAGCTTCACCATCTTCGTCTCTAGAACCTCCATAATTTCGAAGAAACGCTC